TGGGGTGGGGTGGGTGGGAGGCAGTTGAACCAGCGTCTGTGGTAGAGCAGTTAGGCACTTTGCTGTTGCGCATAGTTGACCTGAGTTTGATTCCTGAGTGGGGATTAAAATCGAGTATCTCAGTGTTTGTGCTGGAATGCAGTATCTGTCACAGCCCGGTATGAATCTGACTGACAGAGTCGCAAGCCTGCCTCCTGAATGGTACAAGTTATGTTGATGGAGGCGTAACACACCTAGGAAAAAAAACAAATTTAAAAAACTAAAATCTGACCATCTCCGGCGCCCATATGACCTTATACAGTTGCGAGCGCCGTAAAACCTCTACTAAAACAAAAGCGTTGATCATCTCCACTCTAGCCAACGGGTGACACAGTAACAGCTATATCCACTTTTTTCTGCTTTGGAAAACTGGGTTTTTACTCTTTATATTCAAAATATTTGTTGTTATTTTTGTCCCCTTTTTCTTCCAACCTTTTCATTATGGTATTATCCTTTGTTTGGTGTTGGGAGAATTAAGTTTCTATTATAACTTTGGTTCCACAAGGACTTTGCAGGGTTTTAAAAAAATTATCCGGAGCTGCTATTTAAGATGGAAGATCAAGACTAAATCTTCGGTGTTTTCAACGAGGCACTTACGCAGCCCCAACGACTAATTACGAGTTAACTAATCTATTTTCAACACCAATAATCTGTCATTAAAAAAATATTGTCGTAAATATACTTTGTAGAGAACGCGGGTGGTATTATTTTAGAGACTGGCGTATCGTTTATATAAAGGATAAGAGCAACAGTTCTATTTTTCCACCATCAAATTCCATGTCGACATCTTTATAATCAAGTTTTTATTTCCAATGACGCAAGTTTTAGATTGTGAACAATTCATAGTTAGCTACCTTTTCTCAAAAACATCTGAATAAAGCAAAAAAAGGTCTCAACTGATTGAATTGGAAGATTGCTTCTGTTGTGTGTATTTTTGGGTTGTTTTTTTTAATCGACATTTGTTTGGGCTTTTATATATTTTTTTGTCTTGACTGCGAGCTCGTCCCATCCCTGGTTGTCTCTGACAGGCTGGAAGCATCCCGATCCTTAGTGATGTAAATTATAACCTTGAGGGGTGGGGGTGGGGGTGGGGGTGAGTGGCTCAAAATGTTAATATTACTTTTCCCCCAGAATATCCTATCTCTTTCTTCTTTCACAAATCCCAGAATTATCTGTTTCTTTTTCCACAAATCGCCAGAATATCTCATTTTTCTTCCTCAAATCCCAGAATATCTGATCTCTTTCTTCTTCCACAAATCCCAGAATATTTATTTCTTCTTCCACAATCTCAGAATATGTCTTTCTTTTCCAACAAATCCCTTGTTTTTTCTTTCGCAATTCTCTGAATGTCTGATCTTTTTTTTCTTCCACAACTCCCAAAATAATTTTTTTTCCACAAATCACAGAATATAAAATAGTTTCTTCCTCGGCAATTCCCAGAATATGTCTTTCTTCTTCCACAAAACTCAGAGTATTTAATCTCTTTCTTCTTCCACAAATCTCAGAATATCTTTTCTTTTTCCACAAATTCCAGAATTTCTTTTTCTTTTTCCCCAAATCCCAGAATATGACAATGTATTTCATCTTCCAAAAATCCCAGAACATTTATTTCTTTATCCACAAATCCCAAAATTCTTTTTTTTCCTCAGAAATCCCAGAATATTAAATTGTTTCTTCTTCCACAAATCCCAGAATTTCTTTTTCTTTTTTCACAAATCCCAGACTATTTATTTCTTCTTCCACAAATCCCAGACTATTTATTTCTTCTTCCACAAATCCCAGAATATTTATTTCTTCTTCCACAAATCCCAGAATTCCGAGTTCCAGACGTACAAGCGGATGTGGGCGTATATGACGTCAGCACAGCCCAATGTGTTCGTTCAAAAACACGAGGACGGTATCGCCCGGGTCCGGGATTCGGGCGGCAAGTACGCCTACTTGACAGAGTCCACAACCATCGAATACGTCAGTAGTCGCAAGCCGTGCGATACTTTGAAGGTCGGAAACAATTTGAACTCGGATGGATTCGGAATCGGAACACCTCTCGGTTCGGATCTAAAGTAAGCAACCACAAGCACATTTTTTAGAAGTCTCCTATAGGGAGTTCTTATTCTATGTTAACGTTTTGGGATATGCCACGTATGGTGTGTTAACACCATTATTATGTGATCATTTTCTATTGTGTTTTGACATCATAATATATTATGAGATAATTTCCTATTGTGTGTGTGTGTGTGTGTGTGTGTGTGTGTGTGTGTGTGTGTGTGTGTGT